GCATAAGCCACAATTGACCACAGGTAATTTGTGTTGCATAGAGGTAAGCCACAATAAGGAAGAAGAGCGGAACACTATGGGCCCAGGGAACAGCAGTACAGCACTGAGAAGCTACCAAAACATGCCACAATGATTTTGAACTTCATCGGCAGCCACTCTCTGTAGTGACCCTCTCAGAGCCAATTTTAAAAGGAAATCCATATTCTGCCTGTACCACTAGCTGGACAAGCAATCCTGTCTCTCAAGGACATGTAAGTTCAGAGTGAAAAAATTTGTTTGGAAGTATTTAAGCTAAAGTCCTTCTTCTTACTTTAAATAGATACGGACTTTTCTGAAAAACCAGCGTTTGTGTTCAGAGGAAGACTTCCTGGCATGTTAGTAGTTTTTACTAGACACATGAAATTTGAGTTCCAAAGGTGACATTTTCAGAACACTTTGAACATATGGAAAACAGGGCTATAATGGAGCTTCTCTGTATCTTAATCATAGCCTGTACTTCTTTGAATACTCTAAATATAGAGATGCATGTACTCAAATTAATAAGGTAAGACTATTAATCTTTCTGTTAACCGGCTGAACTGATTAATGAAGTAATATACTTTGCAGTACAATATGCATTAACACAAGCAAGTGACAGAGCAGGACAGCACTCAGCTCTTGAGTAGAGGAAGTAAGGAAAGTGAGAGGAAGATGTGACTGCCAGCATCAGGAGGTCAGTCTAGGCCAAGAGCAGCTCAATTTGACTAGGATGAGCAAAGGCAAGCTTTGTCACAAGAGTGGTACTGATTGCTAAGGCAAACTCAAAGCAAGTTCCACCTCTTTTTTACCATCTTAGCCCCCACCTTTACCATTTCTATTATAACCCCTCCCTGTCTTCCTTCTGCTTCTTACTGAGCCAAAGAGAGGAAAATAAGTTGGAAGTAGGAGAAACCAAACCAGCAGAAAGGTGTGTAAATGGAGAAAGCTCTATCAGACTTTACAGTGTGTGAAGGAAAGTAATACAAGAGCCTTTCCAAAGAAGGTGGCAAAATTAACTTACAGCCTCTGAGTAGAAATACTACTAATTTTTCAGTAAAGAATGTATTTTCAATAAATGCATATATTCATGCTCTCTGTATGGAGGTAGAAGCATAGGTTGGTAAATTAGAGGAAAAAGCAATCAGTGCTTTTCCATTACAACGTTACACAGTGTTTTCTTCTGCAACAGTAAGAGAGGTTTCTTTTTTCCCTAATGGATTTACTTTCCCTCCCTGAACCACATCCCCTCATGTTTTCTATGAAATTTTGACAGATAAAGTTTTCTGAGAAAGTATAGGCTTCTTGGTTTCCGGTACCCATTGTGCCTACAACTCCCATGGCCACAATTCAGGAACAGGATTTGTTTAAATGCCTTTTTTCATTACTACTCTTTTTAAGGCCAAGCTGTGATAGCGGAATGGCAAACATCAGAAACCAGGCTCCTCCTGCTCCAGGAAAGCTATAGTTTGTTCTAACACCTCTCCTGAAGGCAAGCTGAAGACTAAATCCAGATCACACCAACAGGACCCAAGACCATCCCTAATCCAGCGGTGCTCACACAGAGAGGTCTGTCCTACCTAAACAGTTGTCCAGATCAGGGTGATCCCAAGGCCATCCCCGGCAGCTGCCCTAGGACCTGGGGTAGGCTGCTGCCTCTAGGGCTTGGACCACAGTGGTGGCCACACTCTTTTAGGGAGTCAGAGCAAATGCAGTAGGAAAGGACCCACAGCAGCTGGTGTGGGGCTACACTGCTATGCTGCCTTCTCTCACCCCACACCAGCCATCTCACAACTGGCCAGTAGAGGTGCCACAGTTGGAGGGGAGGTAACTACAGAACAGTGTGGCAGGGAAGACATGTGACACCCATGGGCTCCTCTCCTTACCCGACCAGGAGCACTCACTCAGCATCTTTTTCTTCTTTCCTTTTTTTTTTAATGTTTGTTTTAATTTTATTGTATTTCCTACAATGTGGGAGGGAGCCGCAGCCAAAAATAATGTTGCCAAGCCAAGGGGATTGGCATACACTGACTGGAATCTGCAGCAAGAGCAGTGGCTTTAAATAGACCTAGCCCTGGCTGCAAGCTGCTCCTGGAAGGCTGGCAGGCTCACCCCCGTGAGCGGGGACACCTACTGTGGGTGCAGGACGGACTGCACCTCTCTGTCCCTGTGCTTATGCCTGTGGGCTGTTTTACCGCCCCCCCCCCCATCTGTGTGCAGCTCCCTGGCCACCCCCATCTCCCTGCTCACCCCCAGGGCAGACTGATGGGCTGAGAAGGCTGGCAGTGCAATCCGTTCACTGGAAGTAACTATTCAGTTACTAGAAATCTGTCATCAGTAAAGCTGTGGTGGCCTAGTGACAGCACATGTGCATGGTGGGGAAGCCTCTGCTCCAAGTGTTAACGCATGTGAAGTGCCAAATGTGGTGAGAGCTAGCCCAGTGAGTAGGTATTGGGATGGCTCCACAGCCCGGCTGCCACAAAAGCTGTGCAGTATTGCTATTTTATTAGACGTTGGCCACTGGTGAATTTTCCAAGATAAAGCAGATACTCAGTTTCTATCTCCTCATCCTTTCCCCAAACCAAAAGTAATGCCTGTGAATAACTCTCACGACCGCTAATTAAACAAGAACCTCGAATCCTGGCAAGCCTGATCAACTCTTCCCCTTCGGTGAACAGTGTCATGGGGGCAGGGTGACGAGCAGAAACCTCCAGTTCCCCCTTTTATAGCAGTAAAGCTGCCTCCTGCCACTGTGAGAGATGTAGGAGGATCCTTAAAACAGCTCCTCTGAAGCCTGCAGAGTTCTTCCGTGTGGGAATATCTTTTTTGCCTAGCGCTTGTCGTGCAGAGCAAGCACAAACTCCCGCAAAGCTGCAGTGCTGAAGGCTGAAGCGTCAATTTACTTCTTTGGATTGTTTCCCTCTGCCTTTCAGCCCTTATTTTCGCAGCACCCTGTATTTCTGTCTCACATCAGCCGCCGATTATTTCGCTCTTCCGTGGGGAGAAGCCCCCTCCGCCCTCGCTCCCTCCCCTCCGGCAGCCGCTGGGACTGGGGCAGCCCGTCCCAGGGGAGGCGGGCGGGAGGCAGGCGGCCGCTCCGGGCAGCATCTTTCCTCACTCTTTTGCGGCCTCTTTCTGCTTCCACTTCGCATTCTCGCTGCAGGGCAGCTTGGCATGTCCCTCCTTGCGCTTTCAAAGGCTGTCTGCGCACCGAAAGTCACTTTCTCCGCTTGCTAGCTTCATTCCCTAACTCCAGACCTGCTTGGTCCTCACGACCTTAATCTCCCAAATCGATTAACTCCAAAAATGGGTCGTTTTCTCCGTGTTTCACCCTATATATGCACATTTCCTTGACTCTTTTTGTCGTTGTTGTTCGTTTGACCGGCTACTGCTCCGTACTGAGAAAGAGCTTACGTAGGATGAAGAAGACAGCAGTTAACATGAATAAACACTTAGGATAAGGCAGGCATATGTTGGCCATTTCCTCTCTGACATGCCAGTGTTACTTCTACGGCGGACCGCAGCCCTGCTTACGCGTATTCCAAAGACAGGCTCTAAGACAGCGACACAGAGCAGGTAGGGGCGCCGCTACCCCTCTTTTTAAGAGCCGACTGCCTCTTTTTCTCTTACTCGCCGATGGAAGCACAAAACATGGAGAGAACAAGGAAATGGTCAGACTCTTAGGTTTCACCAGCTGCAAAAAAAACCCAAACCAAAATAAACAAAAGAAAAAACCCACCCTCCACTAGTGGCTTCAGCCGCGTCAAGAAAGTTTACTCTCACAATAGCAGCTGCAAAGTTGGCTGATCGATCGACTGGTATTTGCCTCTAAAATTCGCGTATTTAAATCTGAAATGATGAACGTGCCGAACCTTCAACAACCACCGACCTCCCTGCCCCCCCAAAACAGCCCACCCAAACAAACAGCGAACGGGCTCGATCCGCCGCGAAGCCCGAGCAGAGCCAGAGCATCGGCAGCAGCGGAGCGATGCTTGGCTTTTGTCTCTCTACGCTGTCTTTCTTCCTTTCCTTGCAAACTTTTGGATGCTCGCTTCAAGCTGTATTTATAGACCTGGAGCCCACGGCTATTTTTCCTTGTGCCTCCTTTGGCTTGGGCTTAAGTCACCGGCAGGGAAAATAAAAAAGGAGGCAGGCAGGCGGGCAGACAAACAGGAGGACAGAAGAGGAAAAGAGCTGGAAGTCCCGCAGACGGGACCCTGAGGGAGGCAGAGGCCGGCGGCCAGAGGTGCGGGACTACCCCCCTGCTCCTGGTGGGCGAGAGAGAGGTAACGGGGGAAGGTCCGGCCCCGGCTCCCTGGTTGGGAAGAGGAAAGCCTCTTGCCCCCGGGAAAGGGGGAGGCCGGGACTGCCGCCCCATCTCGGTGGGGGGGTACTCGGCGTGGCCGAATCAAGGAGAGCTTGTGTTTGCGTCTAAAGCGAGGAGGGGAAGACACAGAGTTTGTACTGTAGTACCAGGTGAAAACAAAGTGAGTACGAGGGGAAGGCGGGCTGCCGCCCACCCGCGCCGTGGCTACTGGGAAGCCGGAGGGGGAACCCGCCTTGGTGCGGAGGGCGGCAGCCCCAAAGGCTGGCCGGTGCCGGAGGTGCCGGGGGCGGTGGCGCTGAGCTGGGATGCTCGAGGGCTACGGCGAGAGCCGCGGGGCATCCCGGCAGCGCGCCCCGGGCAGCGCGGCTCTCCGCGGCCTCGGAGGCTGTGCAGAGCTGCTGGGAAACGACGCCGCTCGGCTGGGCTGCCGCCGGCTATTTTAATATGATGTCTCTATTGTGCTTTAAACATTCAAATCCAAAAACACCCCACGCCGCTCACGAGAATAGGGAAGTAATAGCTATTTGGAAATAGTTTATTGGAAAAGAGGAAAGCTTTCCCTGCCTGCAGAAAAAGTGATCAGGGGATTAAAAACGTGGGTGCTTGGGGTTTTTGATGTTGCTGTTTTGCTTTTATTTTCCCCTACTGTCTACAAGTAAAGAAACTTTCTTTTCCCGCAGGGTGGATGCTGAAAGTCTCTAACCAAATATCCCAGTAAGGTGGATGGTGTAATTATCATGTTGTTAGGTATTTCCTTACTGACGTGCACCACAATTTAGCCTCTAATCTCCGAAATAGATGTCAAAGCAGTTTTTGACATCTTTAGAAAGTCTGTTTTGCGGGTAAGTAAAACGTGAGGCTGTAGAAGGAACTCGGTTTTGGGCTGAAAATGAGACTTTGAGGTTTGGCTTCGAGTGGCAGAACTTGGCTGTGCAGTTTGGCATTATTATGACCTTGTTCAAATGCCACGTTCTGATGTGTCATGAGGAAGGTATAAAATTGTTAAAGCTTCCAACAATCCATCAAATCTTGTTCAGAGCCGGGCTCTGGACTCTAGCTTATTTAAATCATTGACACTTCAGAAAAAACCCCTTTCACCCTTCGCCTCTCCGGGTGGACTTTTCTATTTGATTACATTAATAATTTGATTTCTCTTTGCCCTTCCAAGTGGGAAAATCAACCCCCTTCCAACATGGGGAGGGGCTGTTATTTTTAGCTCGTTCTCTGGAACAAAATGTTCCAACACTCCCTGCTTTGAATCTCATTGCGGTTTGACTACTCTTTGATATATAAGACTGTCGGTTATCCTTGTCAAAGTACCTGTTACAGGAAGTGGCTCCCTTAGCTTGGCAAATCACCTTGAATAAACTAGACAGGAGCATTTGCCTAAGTAAAGAAACGTTTTTAGTATTGCAGGGGAATATTAAACTGATAAATCTACTGTAGGTGCTACACTTATGATGACCATAACGATGTGCTCAGCTATCAAAACAAGTAAGAACTAAATAAAATATTCCCTTGTCTTCTTATCTCCTCGATAGATACATTTTGTTGGCACTTGCTGAACAGTTTTGGAAAGTTCCATATGTACTTCATAAACAGCACTTAAAATGCGAGTCCGATTCAAATATCATTTAAAGAGCCCTGCTGCCCCTTCCCAGCTGCACTTCTGCAGCTACTGTTTCAGTAATGGAGTACTTTAAAGTGCGTTTAAATGTTCTTCCTCCTCACCCCCGCCCCCTCCCTCTCGCGTCCTCCGAGGAGTTCCAGCTGATATTACTACTGTGTCCATTTTAAAAACCCGTCTCTGTGTGTTTAGCTACAAACCGTCCAACATAAACGCAAACAGTGTTATGAAGAAACATAACAAAGTAGAAGGGAAGGGAAAGGAGAAATACACTTCTGTCAAGTGATGCTTCCTATAGAGTGAATTCCATTAAACCAGAGTTTTAAAGGTAGCGCCCTTGAGAACACAATGCTATAAGCATTTGTATGAATGCATAGGTAGAGTCTGAGGCATAGAAATTATAACAAGAGTTTTGAACTTCATGGCTGCAGATTTGGAAAGTTCTCATAGCAGTTACTCCTGGCATTAGCAAAACCACTACACTGAATCAAGTGCCTGATCATTACGATCTTCTTCACGGGATTTTCTGTTACTGTGTACATGCTCTCCTTGGCCAGGGACCAGTGGCTGAACAAAGTCAAATGAATAAAATAAGTGCAAAGTAGTCTTCTTTGCACAGAGAGGAAGAAATGCGCATAAGGGGAGCACCTAGAAAATCTGAAAATCCGAGTTTTGCAGCTCGAAATCATTACATTCTCGGCAACAGAACATAATCATTACGCGCGAGAGAAAGGGGAAAAATTCTGCTCGTATAGTGATTATTGTTATGACGAGAAGCAATAAGTGCTTTATTATAAAAATAGCGTTTGTTCTTAAAAAATCGAGTGAGCAGCCATCCAGATAAACAGTCCCTGCACCTAACAAGCCTACTGTCTTCGTGAGGTTTTGTGTGCTGCTAACCGCCTGTCCTTTTCAATCTTTGTCGTTTTTTTTTCTTGTAATTATACATATTATTTCCCACTTACCCTAATTTCAGTACTAATGCTCCGAAATTGCATAAAGACGTAACAGAAAGGCTATTTTTTCCTGCCTGTGCACATCGATAAATTGGATACCTATTATTGCTGTGCAGTAACATTTTCATATTATTATACAGAGGCCACTCAAATATTAGAGCCTCTAATTCCTCTGTATGATTAATGTTTCTTAGTTGCTTTTTACTGGTTCTTGAAGAATAGTGATCAGCTCTCTTTGACAGTGCAACACTGACGTTTTTCCTCAAGTTAGGCGCATTTTCTTTGTATCTCTGTTTACTTCGCTGTTGCAACATCCAGGGGGACCGGTGTATTTAAAATAAGCGGACGGGCACATGCCTGGAGAGCCTCGGCGGGCACCGAGGGTGCAGGGACAGCGAGAGTCCCGCCGCAGCACCGCCCGAGCGGGAGCAGCAGCTCCGCCGGACCGCGGGCTGAAGCCTGAACGGGCGCTTCCCAGCGACGGCAGCGCCAATGCAGGCACTCGGCAGCACAGCATTCCTCGCAAATGCAGCCTCTCGCGAACATAAAGCCTTAATAAACACACTAAATACAAAGTAAGAAGGCCACAAACATAGTTTTGGGATGGTGGGTAGCGGGAGGGCGTGCATCCCTTGCTTGCCATTGGAGCCTTCGGGAAGCTTCATTCCAACTGTGCGTCGTACTCGCTGGCCGACGACCTGGGTGGAGGCGGCCGGGTTTTGCCAGGGCGACGGGCTCCCCGGACCTCGTCGCCCTCGCCCCCTTTCGCCTCCGCAAACACCTTTTCGCGTACGAATAACCTCCTCGGGAGCACGGGAAAATGCTCCCTAGGCTTTACAGACCACTTCCCGCCGACTCAGGCCGCCGGGATTCCTGTGGTCACCGCGGCCGACTCGCCCGCGGGTCCCCCCGCCTCCGAGCACCGAGGGCACCCCGGGCAGGGCGGCTGTAGCGGGGCAGCGGCGCAGCCCTCTCTGTCATTCACCGACCGTCTCGAGGCATTCCCTCATTTATTCTTGCACGCAGGCGGATTCAGACCCCTCTGCCGAAGCCGGCGGGTAAGCGGCGGCACCTTCCCAGCGGGGCCGGCTGCAGAAGCGCCGGTCGCCCGGGGTCCGTGCTGCACCCCTCCTCGCCCCCACCCCAAAACCCACCTGGCACTTTCCCCCGCAGCGCCGTGACGGCCAGCCCGGCCTCGGCCGGCACTATTTTTAGGGCGCCCCGGGTGTCCGCTCCCTCCGGGGGAGCAGCCCCCGCTCCGGTCCCTCAGAGCCCCGCGGCCGCCCCCGGCACCTCGCCAGCCGCCCCCGCGCGCCCCGGGCGCGGCATCTGCGCGAGCGCGCAGCGCCTCACGGCACCCGCGCGCCCCCTCGCGCCGCCCGCGGGGGGCTCCCGGCGCGCTCCGGCGGGAAAGGCCGGCCCCGGCCCCGGCTCTGCCCTGCCCGCCCACCGCATCCCCTGCCGCCTGGGCGTGCGACCCACATGGGCCCCGTGTCTCCCCAGGCCACGGCAGCTCCCCCAGCTGTGGCCCTGTGCCGTCCCTCAAACGCTGGCTCGCCGGACCTCCGACCATAAGCCTTACTTTACGGAAGGGAAGCAATGGAAAAAAACCGAAGTTTACAGGCTCTGTTTGAAATAATCAAACTCTTGGTCTACTCTGGTCTCCTAAGTATTCTACAATAATGCTTATGGACGCAACTCTGTATTAAGGCTCCAGAATTCAGCTTAGTTTTTAATTAACGGAGGTGTGGAGAGTGCTTAAAACTGTTTACTGTTACCACTGCATGCTGCTTCTTCATTGAGCAAACTGGAAAGTAACGTTCTGTGGAATCATCTTGGCAGCTTTTCCAGGGAGCTTGATGCCTGCAGAGATGTTTATGCAGAGCTTTTCCACAGAGCTGTCAGTTTCCTGCAGTCTGAGCTTTGCGCCATGTGCTCCAGAATGCCATCTCATCACAGAGAGGTGTCATTGTTTGCTGAGGACCTACACCCCCCACTCCCTCCCTGACTTCTTAATCAGCTCAAATCTAACATCAGTTGGCTGCTTATAAGTCAGCACTCTTGCTATCTAACTCAATCATGCAATCAGGTCTTCAAAGTCAGCCAGGTTGCCTGCGTTGTCCCATTTCATGAAGCAGAGAGGCTAGCACCAGGATGGCATTACCTCCAGGGGGGTCAGTGTGCCACACCTGATCTCCATTTTGCTTTAGGCAGATGAGCTTGGCAGAGCTGTGCAACCCTCTAAAATGGGAGCATCAGCTCCTACCATATCCCTGAAAAGAAACTGTTCTCCTCTTATTATAGAATAGCAGAAATTTAGACAGAAATCCAAACAAATTCTTTGATTGATGTGTATATAAGCAAAGTAAAGAGGCAACTTCAAGAAGAAGAGGAAATGGGAATTAACAAGGAAGGATAAAGCACCTAGATTTGCTCTGTCTTGAAGGTTGAGGAAAGCCATGGTAATGTTCTATCAGAGCTTTAGCTGCAATGAGGAGAAGAGAAGGAGATAATTTTTTTCCTTGCTATTTGAATATGTCCACCTGTAACATTTCCAGACAGAGTAGCTATCTGGGAATTTCCTGCACCTCTGGTAACTGAAGCACGTATGGCCTATTTAGAAATGACAGGTGAGGCAAAGGTGGCTCTTAGGATGCCTGCTGTTAGAGAAGCCAAATTAGATTTTGGTGTAATTTATCAGAGATGGAGGCCACCCCATGTTTCAGTAGTCATCCTAGTAATACTTATGGTCACACTGTGCCGTACTTTTTTATGTTAATTTCCTTCCCTTCATGACCCACATGTGAATAGTGGTGTTTCTAATCCACCAATGACTGCTGAATATTAAGAACCAATATTAAGTGTGAGTGGAGATCTCTCACAGAGGCTCCAGCAAGCCCAGTCACTACATAGGTTGTGTCGGGATAGGTACAATTTCAGAAGTATTTGTGACAGAAACCTAGGAACTCAGTTTTCACTAGGAAGGCTTTCTGCCTAAATGGTAACTCTTTCTCAAAGGCAGTTTCAGTGCTTTGTCCCTCCACTACATAACAAGAGAAGTTCTCAGCCTCTCTCTCTGATATATGAGAGGAGAGAGATAGCCCTAACAGACATACACAGAGGCCTTGGGAAGGCAGGGGAGAAACAGAGAGGATAAAGTGGCCCTGAGAGGGTGGGAACTGGCCTTTTCCTTCCTGAGGCCCAGTGTGCAAACTGCACTGTGAGGTTTCTCGTGTTCTGGCCTTCTAAATAAACTTTTTTTTTAATTCTTTCCACTGCCTTGGCGTTTCTGGGGTTACCTGGGTATCTTACTTTGCAGGCTGTCATATCTCCACACATACATGTTCCTCAGACCAGAGTGTAGCAGCAGGGAGGGCCATGAGAGGAGAAAGGCTTCAAAAGGGTTACTCAAGTCTTATTCCTATGCAGAAGGCTCCACCCTGTCTGGTAATGGGGGATGTTCAGTGCATATTTCTGGGCTTAACTCACAGTATATTAACATTACCGCTGGGATGAAATATACCCTCTTTTATGAGCTCAGGAGTGGTAAAATCAGAACTTTGGTGAAGTATGCAGAGGTCATCCTAATTCATGAAAAGGAAACGAGTTCCCTCCAAAAATGATTTGCCATGTTTTGTTACCATGTTTTTGGATCACCATTATTTTTTATACTTAATCTTTTATGAGGTTTTATGATTTTTTTCATGGGAGTTCATTTTTAGGGAATTTTCTTCTGCTCCCTTCTCTGGTCAAGACCCTAATATGCAAAATCAAGTTTCGTTTTCGTTGTTTTGCTTTGTGATTCAACTCTCAGAAGGCTTTTAGACTCTGAAGAACCTCTGCTATGATGGTAAGCAAGGGACCAAAGGAAAGGAAAACAGGAACAGAGATTTCTTTTACGGTTAGACCGCTCCTTGTGAAGCCTATTTAGAGAAAATCACATGGCAACTCTGAAGAGTGTACTGACACTATATTATCGCCTGGTTTGGGCATTCTTGATTTCATTTCTTTAGATCCTCTTCACATTCACACCTAAGGACGTTAACTTATGAATAAAGCAATGTGACAGTGTAGCCTTCATAGAATCATAGATTTGTTTGAGTTGGAAGGGACCTCTTAAAACTCTTCTCATCCACCTCCTTGCAATGGGCAGGAACATCCGCAACTAGACCTTCAAGACAGTTTATATTTGAATGCTAAATCAGATTTAATACCTCACTCTGCACCCACAGCAGAGCACACCATGAGGCTACCTACATTCTTTCTCAAGTAGCCTGATCTGCTGCTGCTTTTATTCACCAAATTAATGAATCATTCATGCCTGAAAGAGAGAGATGCAGAATTCATGGGGGACTCAGTGTGATGAGCCCCATTATACCTTAAAAAAAATTATACTGGCTGTATAATTGGCCTGCAAGTAAAGTTCAACTCACCACAGCAAGTTCTATTGGTGAGCTGAATCTGTGTTTGCCAGAGGCTTTTTAGTTGAGCCCCAGAACAAAGAAGGTACCTTTATTATTAAAAAATTCCTCATATTATTCCTGAAAAGGCAGCCAGAATTAGAGGTAACCGGTCCTTTATTTTCTAGGCAACCTCTGCTGAACAGCTGATACTGAGCAGGAGGGGATCGTTCAAACATCTGTCTTTGTGGCAGAAGCTTCTGACAGATGTTGGAAGCTTCTGAGATGATTCCCCATAACTGCAGTTATAAAGAAAAATGAACAGGCTGATTTAGGGCAAGCACAATTTAAAACAAAAAATGTTTGAATTCTTTGACTATGCAAATTTTTCACTAAAAAACCAGAACCTATACTGTCAGGCATTTCTTTGTAATTTCATTCCATCTGTTAGGTGTATAAGCATTAAGAGTGGTACCCTTTTTTTAATAAAAAGGTATAAAAACTGATGTGTCTTGCTTATTTTCATCAAAAGAAGGAAGTGAGCAGTGAATATAGACTGAAAATATATTTGTGGCAGTTTGCTGTCTTTTCGCACAATTCTAGAATTGTAGGTAAAATGAAGAGTAGAGGCCAATAAGAGCAATTTTCTGAGTCCTATTAGCTTCCAAATGGAATCACAATATACAGTTAGCTGGGAATCTGCAAGATTTCACACCTAATTCTACTGGACTTAAATTTTAATTTGCCATCAGAACAAAACCTCTAATTGCAAGCAGAAGCAGCTTATTACATCTTTTATATGACTCTGACTCACACATTGACCAAACTATAAGGAAATAATTTTCCCTTGCATACAGATGATGATCTTGCTTGAATGTTCTGTACCTAAAAATTCTTCACAATTTACTAATAAGAAACAGAGAAAGAGAGGAAATTATCTTCATCTGTTTCTCTCAC